TATTTATTTATTTATTTATTTATTTATTTATTTAGAGATAGAGAGCACAAGTGGGGGAGAGGGAAAGAGAGAGTAAGAGAGAGAATCTGAAGCAGGCTCCATGCTCATGACCCTGGGATCATGGATGACCTGAGCCAACATCAAGAGTCAGCTCAACTGACTGAGCCACCCAGGCACCCGTTCATGACTCTTTTTGAACCTTTGCCATATTTTATTTGACACGTCTCTCTACTGTCCTTCATTCCATACACTTCGCTTATTAGGTGTCTCTCTACCCATCATACACTCTGAACCTTTGAAATTGTTTTGAATTTGTGCTATTGACTTATATTTTCAAGAAATCTTTACCCATGTACATCTTCATAATTACTTTATGTCTACATGACCTATGTGAGACCCAAGATGTGCATGCCACAAACACACGCTTCTTGCCCAAAGGGGCTGACACTCTAACACACAAGATGCTCATACAAACAAATAATTACAACAAAATGAGAGCCATTTTACAACAGTCATGTACCAGGTCTGCTGGACCTTGCTACTCCAACAGTAACTCATGGATTGTCAGGATCAGCATCACTCGGGAGCCTGGTAGAAATGAAGAATCTCACGCCCCCTCCAGGACCTACTGGATAAAAGTCTGCATTTTGCAACAGACCCATAAATACGGACAACAAACTGGAGGTTGCCAGAGGGGAGGGGTGTTGGAGGATGGTCAAAAGGAGTGAAAGGGAGTGGGCAATAAAGACTTCCAGTTATGGAAGGAATCAGTCGTGGAATAAAAGGCACAGCACAGGAAGTATAGTCAGTGGTATTGTAATAGCGTTGTACGGGGACAGATGGTAGCTATCCCTGTGGTGACCAGAGCGTAATGGATTGACTTGTCGAATCACTATGTTGTATGCCTGAAACTAATGTATCATTGTGTGTGTGTCACATATACTTCAATTAAAAAAAGTAATCTGGGAATGCCTGGGTGGCTCAGTCAGTTAAGTGTCCAACTTCGCCTCAGGTCATAATCTCGTGGTCCATGGGTTAGAGTCCCACTGTTAGCACAGAACCCACTTCAGATCCTCTGTCCCCCTCTCTTTGCCCCTTCCCTGCTCTTTCTCTCTCTCAGAAATAAATAAACATTAAAAAATAATAATCTGTATTTTAACAAGACTGTCACATGATTCATATGCACACTTAATTTTGAGAAGCACCCTATAGGACAAAAATGATGAGCTTATGGGAAATATTAATACATAGCTTTATAGAGTACCCACAACTTAACCTTACATTTGGAGGATAGGGGAGAAAGGGGAAGTAAAGACAGACAGAGACTCACTTTATTTCTCCCTTCCTTCCTTTTGAACAGTTTGCTATTTCCGGATTTTTTCCAATTCTGTCTGAAAAGAAATATGCCATATATCTGGTGAGTTGCAATTCTGTCTTTATCCATCCGTGAGAAAATAAGAAAAATGGAATTTTAGGAGTCTTGAGGGAGATGTGCCATCATCTCCCCTATAATGAGTGAATGTGGATGTGGTTTTTTTTTATCCAATCTACTTTGTGTTGGATATAATCATTAAAAATATAACCATTACAATATCAATCGTCTTCTTAAAAAGACAGTAAAGCATCAGTACCTTGACACTTGTTTTAAGAAATATCTGCACACTGGGCCTTGTCCTTGTGAGTACAGTCATATGATCAAATGGATGATTTGTTTCTTTTTTTTATTTCCTTTTTTTTTTTTTAACGTTTATTTGTTATTAAGAGACAGAGAGTGAACAGGGGAGGGGCCGAGAGGGAGGGAGACACAGAATCGGAAGCAGGCTCCTGACTCTGAGCCGTCAGCACAGAGCCCGACGCAGGGCTCGAACTCACGAACTGCAAGATCGTGACCTGAGCCGAAGTCGGGGACTTAACTGACTGAGCCACCCAGGCACCCCTGATTTGTTTCTGATTAAGGAGACTGCTTGAGGAGAGATGATGTGTGTCCACAAGGGCCTTCCTGACTACAGTCCTAGCAAGAAGGTTATAGATGCTTAGTAAACAATGAGTACACTGCCAAGATTTCCTTTTTCAATTTACATTTGGAACCAAGGCAGAATTTACTGGATGCAACCAGCCGTCAGAATGCAGGGAGGTCTACCGAATGCGCTGGCAGATGGAGGCCCAGGTCTGAGTGTTGTCCTTCACCATCAGGTGTGGGGAAGCCTGGGAGCAAACACCGTCAGCAGCATCGTTGCAGGAATAGGAATCTTCATCCTGACCATCAACTTGACGAGTTGCTGGCCTCATATCTACAACTGCCAGGAAGCTGGTGGAGATGTCTGCTTTGTGGCTTGGTTTTCCACCGTATGTATTTCTTGTGGAAGTGCTAAGATTCTGACTCCCAATCCAAGTAAGAGCTCTCTTTCCCTTTTCCGTGAACCCCATCCTCTGCTGTAACCTCTGGGGTAGTGTTCTGGGGGTGCATGTATGGAGATGCTGGCTGCCGACCCCTTCCCAGCTGAATTCTGTGAGGTTGGAGTCACCTGCCTGGACGACCATCGTGTGGTGTCCCCCTTCGTATGTCACTTCATTGGGACTGATCACGTTGAGGGGGTGATGAAATCAGGGGCTGCTATAATGGAGCACATTTTCAGGGCACCTACCTTGTGACTCCACTTGTCTTGTTGGTTATTGTTCAACAGGAGATCGTGGCAATGATCCTGTTTCTCACCGTCCTGGGGTTTTGTAGTGCTGTGTCACTCATGATCTATGGCCTTGGAGAAGTATTCCAGGAAAAGAAGGTAGGTAGAGGCCTGATAATCCTGAATGACAAACTGAAGAATTTGAGCTTCATCTTAAAAGTACGGCCTGGATCTCTGGGAACATTTCTTCTAGAAAATTATTTCTTCATGTTTCAGTATTTTGGTTCCGAAATCTCGTATTTTAAATCACATTTTTCCACTTGTAAAAGCCCCAATCTCTGGGTATATCCTCATGACTGAGCATGAGGAAAGTAGAGTTTTCATAATTCTAGAAAAGGCTGTGGGTTGAGCATGAGAGACAAATGTGAAAGTAGCATGTGATGGAACCTCCCAGGTATCTGGGCTTATTTTCTCTTCCAGAATAGGTCCCTCATATGTGTTCCTACTCTCTCTTTTTTCTTGGCTTTCAACTTCTTACTTGCTCTGAAGGCTCAATTTTCTTTCCTTCCCAATTCATGATTACCAACTACATTTCTGCTTGCCTTACCCATCTATTATACCTTTGATGTACGAAAAGGACTCACCAATACTTGCACAAGCACTGACTCAAATCTTCCAGATGATACACACTCCCTTCATCTGTCCATTTGCCAAAGCATTCAAGTCTGGTGGCCTTTTTTTGTTTTGATCACTTGCCTCCAAAGATAAATAAGACAGCAGATATACCAAAGTTCAGACACAGTAGTCTCACCAGCTTGTTATTGACTGATGTAATTTCTCCTGGGCCCACTTGGCCAGCCAGTCTGGCTTGGTTTATTGGAGATGGAAGTAATAATTACAGTGTAATGAGAAAGAGAGTGACACTCAGAAAGTCAAAAGAGATGTGATAGATCTCTCGAACAAGTCGTCTAGTGGTGGAAAATTCCTGGTGATTAATATTAAATCATTTTTCCCTCATCAGATTCCAGAAGATCGTCTTTATGAAGAATTAAACATATATTCGCCAATTTACAGTGAGTTGGAAGACAAAGGGGAGACATCTTCTCCTGCTGATTCATAAGAATTATGTGTTCAGAACATTCTGACTCACAGCAAAAGGTCTAGAAAAAACCAAGATCTTTGTTTAAGGGGCTACCGACAAAATTTCAATTCTCTCTATGGTCTGCCAGTTTTACATTAAGATTTATTCTCCAGATGGTAATACTCTATCTGTTGTTTCTGCTCACCTAGACTCCCCCTGCCTCACCCATTTTTAGATATGATTGACTCCTATTTTTCTTGTTTTCTATTGCTGTCTCGTACCTACTTTTGTGGGAAGTCAACAAATAATCAGTTAGCATTTACTCTGTGCCTATAATGGTGCAAATAGAGGAAACAAGAGGAAGTCTGGTTGAGAGATGAGTTAAACTTTGACAGTTCGGTCATGTTTGGTTCTTAGCCCTTTTCAGAGTTCGTAAGGGCTACAGATGTGCGTGATATATGTCCCCCTACTGGACTGTAAGCACCTAAAGGACAAAGCCCATTCAGCAAATGTATACTGAGGACCAAATAAGTGTTCTAAGTTTTCCACACTTGTCTCTTTCACTTCATGTTTCCCAGTTTCCTATATCATGGGAGCTCAAAGTGTATTTGTGGAGTGGATGGGGGAACATTCTGAGAAGATATACCACTGGGTCAGGTGCCAGGTTGAGTTGCGAAGAAGAAAGAAATTACTTTAAGGTGAATTTGGAGGTGAGAAGGAGGCCAATTGGCAGATAATTAGCAATAGGAGTATAGTCAGATGGAAATTTGAAAAGAATTCTATTCTATTAATCATTTTGGTGGATGTTTATCACATCAGCTTAGCAATGGATGCTTCCTGCTTATGTTTGATCTTATGTGGAGAGTCCAACATGGAATGTTAGAAGGATCACAGATCTTAGAAAACGCATTGGAATCCCAGGCCTATTGCTTATTAGTTGAGTGGGTTGTGGGAAGTTATTTAATTTTTTTTTTTTTTACTTAATCTGGTTTTTCTCATATGTAAAATTAAGACATTAGGAATAACTTACCTGCCAGGATTAAAGGTCTATTGTGGGAACACACACACACACACACACACACACACACACACACTTAAAACTAACTCAAATGGCCCCACTCTCTAATTCCACTTCAATTTTCTCTCTTAAATACACTGTGTTTGACCATTTCGCATCAGCACCCCAACTTGAATGTTCTGTCATCTCTTCTGTGCTTGCTTGAATTTCTTCTTTCTTCAATCCCTACTTTAAGTCCCTCCTCATTCTTTAAGGTTTTCCAGTCAAAATTGTTCTTTTCTCTAAATGATAATTTTTTTTCAAACCAAATACTCACACACACACACACCTTACACTATATATAACTTCCACATGCAAATATTTTTAATGGTTACTTATTTTGGGGAGAGAGGGAGTGAGAGAGAGAGAGAGTGGAAGGAATATAGAGAGAGGGAGAGAGAGAATCCCAGGCAGGCTCTGCATTGTCAGCACAGAGCCCAACATGGGGCTCAAACTCATGAACCTGAGCAGAAATCAAGAGTCAGATGCTTAACCGACTGAGCCACCACCCAGGTGCCCCTCCATATGCAAATACTTTACATCCCCTTAATGATCATACATTTTTTTCAAAGACACAAAGTCTCACAAAAATCTGTATATTTTCTGAATCATTCATATTTCACATTCACTGACACAATTTTGTTCAATAATGTTTGCAGAATGATGAGTGAGCAGTGGGGAGTTTTACTAGGTTACTCAGTATCTGGTGATATGGAGGGGTAAAAAAACAGGAAAACCATAAATGGAAAGATCATTTAATGAGGAATTTGAAATGGAAGAAGAATAAATGAATGAGGACTTGAGATTAAGTGGAGTCAGTGGGGATGGAGAGAAATGGTCATACCTAAAACATGGAGTGAAAGAGAAATTGGTAGACGTTGTTAACAAGTTGAATTAAAAGACAAGATTTGATAAGCGATTGGTTGATAAACACATTCCGTCACTGGGTCTAAGGTCAAAGGAGAATACCTGGTAAGTGTGTGTGAAACATGGATTGTCAGAAATATGAACTGATGAATCTGATGTAGGAAGTCAGAAATATGAATTGATGAGGGGTGCCTGGGTGGCTTAGTCAGTTAAGTGTTTGACTTTTGATTTTGGCTCAAGTCATGATCTCATGGTTGTGAGATTGAGCCACGAGTTGGACTCCTCACTGGTGGAGCCTGCTTAGAATTCTCTCTCCCTTGCCCTCTGCCCCTCCCCCACTTATGCTTTCTCTCTCTCTCTCCCTCTTACAAAAAAAAAAGTATGCATTGATGAGGGAGGAGCACCTATAGACCTAAATTAAGCTCAGTCTTAAGATTTTATTTTTAGGAGACAAAAAAGAAATGCAGTAGAGAGAGCCTGATGGCACCTAATACAGAGTTTTGGTCAAAATGAAATTTGGTGTCATTATTGGAGAGATCATTAATGAAGCAGATTAATACTCTGGGGGAATTCTTTTGAGATAAAAGGGAAGCCAAGTTAACTTTCACATGCCTATAATCACAGGGGTGATGGGAAGGACAAAATTCTAGGGTAGAAGATACAAGAATTAGGCAGAAAAGTGCATTGTGGAACAGTAGACAGCAGATAGTTCAAAGTAGAGAGAGGTCAGATAAAGAGAGAATAACTCACCAGCTCAGACAGCATCTGCTGGCAGGGTGAGAGAGAAGTCTACAAGAGATGTCTTGTCCTGGGTGTGGTAGGCAAGAGAGAAGTCTGCCTCCAGGTGAGGCACAGAGATGGGGAGAGCAAGTAGCAATGGTGAATGAATGCCAGAGGTGCAGAGAAATTTGAACCAGGGGCTGGTGGTAACTGAATAGAACATCTGCAGAAGCATTTAGAAAGAGACAATGCAGGTATATGTGATATGAGAAGTAAGAGAATAGATTGCAAATCAAAAATCACAAAGAAAAATAAGCAAAATGATTACATTGCTGTGGATGTTTTTGTTAGTAAGAGGAGGAAAAAATAATTCACATCTTTAGCTTAAGCAGACGAGTCCTGTGGAGGGTCTGAAGAGTCATCTTGGGGCATTATTCACAAGTCATTAATAAAATAATTATGTTTTATATACTTTGCCAAAATTAAAAAGTGACAGGGAGAGATTAATTTCCCCAGGCCATAAAAGTGATCACATAACCACACACTTGGTATGCTTAATCTAGCCTTAGAACCTCAGGTTTTCTACTTTCATTTTTCTGAAATAAAATTGTGTTCCTCAAAATTTGATAGCAACATGAAAATATACCCTTTCACTGTGTTGCTTGTTACATTGTATCACCATTCTTGATCACATCACTTCCATGGCATATATATTCCCATCCAAACTCCAAAGCCTGGTCTACCAGGACCCCTAGAAATGGATTCAGTCCGGGGCGCCTGAGTGGCTCACTCGGTTAAGCATCTGACTCTTGATTTTGACTCAGGTCATGATCTCATGGTTCATGAGTTCAAGCTCTGTGTCAGGCTCTGTGCTGACAGTGTGGAGCCTGCTTGTGATTCTCTCTCTCTCTCTCTCTCTCTCTCTCTGCCCTGCCGCTGTTTGCTCTCTATTTCTCAAAATAAATGAAAATAAACTTTAAAAATGCAAAAAAAAAAAACGCAAAAAAAGAAAAATGGATCCTTTACAATTGTACATTATCATTCTTTCTCTAACTCAATTCATATTTGAACCTTGTTACTGACTATATCTTTCCTGTGTATATGACACAATTTTTGTCTCAAGACCATTCTGATAGTTGTCCTGCCCCCTGCCTGCCTTTTATCATATGCCCACTTCAGGCATACCCTGAGCACACAACTGGCCTTCTTCACACATTCATTGCTTCAAATTATCTTTCTAAGAATTTCAACTTGAAGGTCATCTACTCCATGAAGACTGCCTAATGCACACCTGTTCATCCAGCCTTCATTTTTTGCTTCATAACCACTTCACCCTGTGATGTGGTATGTGATCAATAATTGTTAGTGTACTTGTGATCTTCCTGATGTATCCTCAATTACTAGTATTTGTGCAATAAATTGAAATAATTTCAGTTGATTTCTTATCTGTGTTTGTGTTTGTGTTTGAGGGTGAGGGTCTGACCAAGGATGACAGAGAATCAAAGCACCAATTCAGTTGCCTGGGACCAAGAATAGGATGTGGAGTCCTCTTTTTTTAATCAATGTTTTATCAAATGGAACAATCTATAAATAACCCTATGGACAGAAAACAGTTGTAAGAACAATTGTCAGCCATGTCTTGTCAATAAATGGTGGGATAAAGGGCTAAAGAAATTCTTATCAGGAACCTCATTTTGGGGCGCCTCGGTGGCTCAGTCGGTTAGGCATCCAACTTTGGTTCAGGTCATGATCTGGCAGTTCATAAGATCGATCCCTGCATCGGGCTCTGTGCTGACAGCTCAGAGCTTGGAGCCTGCTTCAAATTCTGTGTCTCCTTCTCTCTCTGCCCCTGCCCCGCTCACACTCTGTCTCTCTCTCTCTGAAAGATAAGCATTAAAAAAAAAATGAATCTCATGTTACAAGTTGGTCCTGACTCTTATTTATTTGCTATGCAATGTGAACTGGGAACAGTCTTTTCCCTTTGTGGACTTCGGGCTCTCCATCTAAAATGAATAGAAAATTGTTGAAAAGGTGACAAAAGATTTCTAACTGATATTTCTGTGCTTTTGGTAAATCACAATTATTAAGTTTGTAGTTGGGATGGCAGAAGCAAGCAGTGCTATCTGATGCTATTTAACGTGTGTCCTAGCAAGGTGTCTGCAACAATAATATTTGTTCTCAACTCTTCTGACAAAAAGCTCACCTAAGGTTTCTTTCTGAAAATTGTCTTAGAAATAAAATTTCCCAAATTATTCAATTCTATGAGGGTTGGGTTTACCTACAAAAAACACTGATAAAATAAGGTACTGTATCCATAATTTCAGATTTATGTAGAGTGTTGAGGTGAATTTATATATGCAAGAGTGTGAAAGTCCATTGATAGTTGCTATGTTTC